AAGAATGTGACTGCTTGTTGCCCCTGTCCAAAGAGTCTGCCTGAGGTTAAAGTGAGGAGATTTATATTAATTCCATCTGAAGAGGAAATCTCAAAACAGTTTAGTATTGACTCTGTTGTATGGTTATTAGTGGTCACTCTTATACAGATTTATAAAGGAGCATGCTGAGCAAGGAAAAGTACAGTTTGAAGAGAAAGGGAGCACCAGGAAGTGGAATGGAGCTAAATCCTGCATTCAAGGAGACAAACAGATTAAGACATGGAATAAAGGGAGTGGTGACCCCAAGGCACAATCCCACCCTGCTAAATCTCCAACTTGTGAAAAGGAATTAAAGAAAAGCTTAGATAGAGCCTGGTGTGGTGGCGCATCCCTTTAATCCCAGCACTCCAGAGGCAGAGGCAGGCAGATCACTGAGTTTGAGGCCAGCCTGGTCTACAGTTCCAGGACAGCCAAACTTAGGCAGTGAAGGAAACCATGAAAAGCAGAAAGGCCATGAAGATGTAATTGAATGAGAGGCAGTGTTTCAGCCCAGGTAAGGAGCAGAACTTGGCAGCTTTCGCTATGTGGTTCTGGTTTTAGAGTCATGAATATAAGAAAGGGGTTATGGGATCATCATCTGCACCTAAGGAAACCGCCGAGGCCAGCCATGCATCAGCATATCCCAGAAAGGAGGCACAGTGAGGTCACTGGGTGAAGCTGTAAAGGTGAACCTTGGATTGCCTTGGAGACCCCAATACATATAATGTCGGAGATTCCCAAGCCACCTTGAAGATGCCAGATGCCACCTGCCAAGGAAAGCTGCTAACAGGAAGTAGATCCAGGCCAAGAGAAAGAAGTGTGTTGTAGTGAACAAGCTGAAAGCAATCTGAGGAGCATTTTGTCCTCAGACAGGGAGTTTGGAATTGCCCAGATGGTTTTCCATTGTGTTTTGATACAGTATTTCCTCACTATGCTCCCCTCGCTACGTTTTGAAATGGTAATGTATAATCTGTATGTTGGAAGTATGTAATCTGCTAAAAGGTTAAAAGAAAGACCCATCTCAAGGTAAAGAGCACTGGAAATAGAAACAACACCAATCTCTGGTCTCCACAGTGCACACACATATACTCTTAACCACATCTAACAAGGATCACACCTGGCTCTTATTAGACATCTCAACACAAATGAACACACATATAAGACACACACACAATACATACTGCATGTAAAGAAATAAGTTTACAGGATCTGAACAGATAATTCATCAGTAAAATACTTGTTAGATGACTCAGCACACTCAGTATCAGAATGTGAGTTGAATCTCCAAATCCCAGGTGAAAAAAAAAATGCAAGGCATGGTGGCACAGACTTGAAATCCCAGAGCTGGTGAGTTAGAGAGAGGTGATCCCTGGAGATTGCTGGTGAGTTCCGAGACAGTTCAAAGAAAATGTGGACAGTTACCTAGGAACAATGCTCAAGACTGTCCTCTGCCCTCCACATATATCCCTACCTGCACACGTATGTAAAATGTAAGAGTTTAGAGAACACTGCATGAGTCTAAGTGAGAGGTGAGAATAATTTACCAGGCAGCTCACATGTCCTACTTAACAATTCATAAAAGCTCAAACATTCGTACTTAAAATTGACCTGTTTCCACAGAATTATATGTGGCAGAGCTAAATAGAATCAGCGACAAAACGTGAGGTCCGTAGGCTTTGCAATGGTTTGTCATCTGATCTTGATGCTTCTGTTTCTTCCATAAAACTTTAGGTGAGCACAGACACTGTCTAAGCCCCTGCTTCCATTTCTTTGGAATTCACAAAACAAAACCTCCCAAGGTTGACAAGATTGAGTGTGGTGATGCATGTGGGGGTCAATGTAAACAACCCATTAATGCTGAGGAAACACAGGACAAGCTAGCTGGCGACTTCCTCTCATCCAAGAGATATTCATATCTCTCTATAAAGCTGGTATTACCCATAGCTAAACACTGAACTGAACTCCTGGAACCTAGTTTCAGAGAGGAAGGAGTGATGAACAAAGGGGTCAAGACCAGGCTGGTGAAACCCAGAGAAACAGCTGACCTGAACAAGGGGGAGTTCATGGACTCCAGACTGATGGCTGAGAGGCCAGCATGGGACTGATCCAGACCCCCTAAATTTGGGTGTCAGTGAGGAGGCCTAGGAAATCCATGGGGCCTCAGGTAGTGGATCAGTATTTATCCCTGGCATACAAATGGACTTTGGCAGTCCATCCCACACAGAGGGATACTCTCTCAGCTTGGACACATGAGGGAGGGCCTAGGATGATATGACAGACTTTGGAGATCCCCCGTGGAAAGTGGAGTGGGGATTGGGTGGGAGGCTGGAGGTGGTGGGAACGGGGGAGGAGGGGAGGGAGAGGGAGCTGGAATTGACATGTGAAGCCAGCTTGTTTCTAATTTAAATTTAAAAATAAAAAAAGGGAAAAGAAGAAAAGAAACCTGGTCTTTCTCCTGGATTTTCTTTCTTAACAAAGAGCACAACTGTGGAGTTTGAGAAAAGCGTAAGAGGCAGGAGGGCAACAGTGGAAGTGGACAAGAGACAAACAGCCTCCCTCTCGTGGGCCTTGGAGGCCACCTGCTAAGTGAGTACTTTCTATTTGTTCACTGCAAGGCTGCCCAGAAGCTCGGTTCAGCACCAGAGAAACTGGTTTCATGGGTGTTAGCAGTTTCTGAAATGGCACAGGCAGAGTCAGCCTGGTATAATAGGGATAGAGTGGAGTTGGGGGCAGAAATATGTTTTTCAGTTTCTCTCTTCTCCTGTGACACTGGGCAAAGCACTAAGTTCCTTACTTTCCTCCTCTGTGGTAAGAGATATAAACTAGAAGGAATCCACAGTCCTTTCTGCCTGGAAAACTCTGCCGTCTAACAAGGATCACACCTGGCTCTTATTAGACATCTCAACACAAGTCTTTCAACTCCTTCCACTTAATGCAGAGTTGTCAAACATAAGTATATTCTGTCACCCACACAGGTCAGCCATGTACACAACTTCCTGTCTCTAAAGCTGGGGACAAAGGGAGGATGTAATTCAAACATAGAAGAATTTTTTTAAATCTAAACTGCTACTCTATCTGCTAAATCAGGATATTTCAGGAGCAAGAGATCTGGGAGCACCTACTGCTTAAAACCCAAACCAAAACATTTTCTTTAATACTAATGACCACAGTGTTTGAGAATCACCATGAAAGGAGAAGGCATGTTTCTCAAAATCTGGACCACAGATCACTCTGCAGTTCAAGGGTCTAAGATGTTTCCTGAAAGCACTAGGAACAGTGGCCAAAAATCCATCCTGAATGTTTTCTCGAAGATTCCACAGAGACCAAGGGAACTCATAAAAGAGTTTATGGATGTTTACTAAAGAAGTCATCAATGAATAAAAGCTCAAAATTTACAAAAAGACATAGAAGAGATGGGGAAATATGATAGCAATGCAGACATATTTCATTTCTATGTAGTACTGCTTCACCATTTCATTTAGTTTCCATTACAAGTTGTGAAAGAAACACTGTAGTATGCATTGTACTATCAAAATTAAACATCATCAGAGAGTTCAGGCAATTTGCCCAAGATTAGAAAATTAATAAGTGGATTAGAACCAAAAAGTAGACCGGGCGTGCATCTTTAATTCCAGTACTCAGGAGGCAGAGGCAGGCAGATCTCTGTGAGTTTGAGACCAGCCTGGTCTACAGAGGGAGTTCCAGGACAACCTCCAAAACAATACAGAGAAACCCTGTCTCGAAAAACAAAACAAACAAGAACCAAAAAGTAATGTTACGTAGCTTGGAAACAGATCACACCACTACAGAATGTTTAAAAGTTGAATACACCCTTTTAATTAAACAATTTACTATATCTTTTCTGATGAGGCAAGTTAAAATATGTAAAGTTCCCATTGACTGGTTTTATTAGCTACCCCGTAAATGGTAAGATTATTGTATCGGTCATAGATTAGCCAAGATAAAATGAGTAATAACTACTAAGTAACAGTGATTTGAGGATTTCCCTGGATCATAAAAAAATCTCAAGCAACGATCATTTCAGGTCAACAACTATCAAATACAGATACAGATATTACAGCTGTGAAATCCAGACGTGTGCTGTCCAGATTTTCCAGCTAGTAAGAACCTTAGCTAGTGGTCTTGCTTTCCTGATCTCTCTTTACACCATGGTCCCTAGAGCCACACTCTTGAATTTAGTATATATCCACCCACCACTGGTTTTTCATTACAGATGACATTTGTAGGACACATTTCTATTTGTTTTTTCTCTTACTGGTTCCTCTAAATTTACCTAGTAGCATATCTGTCAAAAGGTTTGTTTACCTTAAACTCTTGACTAAGTAGAATAGGATGGGTCTGTCAGATTGCCAGATCCCGAACTGACCCACTACATGCAATTATTATGACACAGTAATAGGCATTTAAGGAATGTGTTGAAACCAAACAGGTCTTAGCTATGTGAGATGCAACATGAGCTTTTAAAAACTTTTCTAAAATTCGTATGTATGGGAAATGCAAACCTCATGACTTTTCATTGAATAAACATGCTTCGCTTTCTTGTACTCATGACCTTTCTTTTTCTCTTCCTTCTTCCTTGTGTTATAAACTTTCTAAAATATGTAGACACAAGGTGCCTCATTAGGGCAACACGTAACATGCCAGTCTCATAAAACGTGTGGACACAGATACACATAGGAGAAGAACACAATGAAAATGACATCGGGAAAGAGGAAATGGCTGAAGAATAAATTCAACATTCACAGTTGTTCATACAAGTGGTGAAGGATTTTTAATTGGTGGATTTTTTTGTTTGTTTGTTTTTATAACATTTTGTTGCTGTTTTTGAAGAGTGCTACATTTTTCAAATTTTCATACCCATTCATATTGTGTAGCTATATTTGGTCAAACAAAGGAGCTATTTCTTTCCCTAAATCAGTATCTAATTTCGTAAATGGAGAAAAATTAAAAAATATACTTACAAATCTCTGATTAAAATATGCTGTTTTTTCTAAGACAGGTGAAGGGCGAAGCTGAAAAACTTGCTTTCCTGAAAATGGGAAAAAAGGAGGGAAGAGAAGAAAAACTTTGAAGAATCAAAAAGAAGGATAATGACATTAATGATGAAATGTGAATATTTTGACTATGCTTTTAAAACAGTGTTAAACTAATAAACACTATTTTCCTGGCTTCCTTGGAAAAGCAGAACCTCTGAGCTAATGATGACATTGTGTGTTGAATATTCAAAGGGATTTCACTCCCAACACCAGATGTACCTAAGATTATCAGCTACAAAATGCAGGGAGTCATTACGGCATCAACACTGATCAAAGGCTAGCTGAGAAAAAAAACCAATCTCTTAGACACAACATTTGAGAGCAAACAGTTTTGCACTCAACTACAGAAAGGTCATATAAACAAACACTTAACATTATTATATTTTATGAGAAATTGTGGATATGCATCTCACATTTAGAACATAACCTCATGTAGCTCATTTTGGAGTGGATACCAAATGTCTCCTACAGGTTCATGCCTCTGAACTTTTGATCTCTGGTTGGAGGTGGTGCTGGCTGTGGAATCTGTAGGAAGTGACGCCTAGCTGGAGGGAGGACATTAATTGGGAGTGGGCTTTAGGATTTATAGGCTAGCTCAGGTCCACCTGCTAACTCCTCTTTTACCCTCCCTTTTATAAAATTTAAATTAGAAACAAGCTTGTTTTACATGTCCATCCCAGTTCCCTCTCCCTTCCCTCCTCCCCTGACCCCCATTGGTCCCCTATCCCATCCCCTTTCTGCTACTGGAGGATGAGGCCTTCCAGGGGAATCATCAAAGTCTGTCATATCATTTAGGTTAGGGCCTAGGCTCTCCCCCATGTATCTAGGCTGAGAGAGTATCCCTCTATGTGGAATGGGTTCCCAAATTCCATTCGTGTGCTAGGGATAAATACTGATCCACTACCAGGGGCCCCATAGATTAACCAGACCTCCAAACTGACATTCACATTCAGGGGGTCTAGAACAGTCCAATATTGGTTTCTCAGCTATCAGTTTTGGGTCCATGAGCTCCCCCTTGCTCAGGTCAGCTGTTTCTGTGGGTTTCTCCAACCTGGTCTTGACCTCTTTGCTCATCACTCCTCCCTCCCTGCAACTGGATTCCAGAGTTCAGCTCAGTGTTTTCGCTAACTCTTCTTTATCAACATGTACAAAACTGTGCCTGGAAGGCCTTACCCTTGCAGGGGAGCAGAAAGGGGATGGGATAGGAGGTTAGTGGAGGCAGGGGAGGAGGAGAGGGAGAGGGAACTGGGATTGACATGTAAAACAATCTTGTTTCTAATTTAAAATTTAAAAATCTGGAAAAAAGTAAAGAAAAACAATTATATTTGCTATAAGAAAAATAAAAGAAACTATGCCTTTAGCTCCCTGTGCTTCTTGCTATGATAAACTGTATCCATCTAACCCAAATAAGTCTGACTTTTCTTAAACTATTGTTTCTGTTAGGTATTACTCCACAGCAGCCAGAAATATAACAGATTGTATGTAACCCATTGTATCTGGAAATGTAACAGAGACTGACACATTGTATCCAGGTGCCCAGCAGAGATATGAGAACCACAGAGAAGGAATCAAGCCATCTTCATCTGGGTTATGAAAAGTAATTACATATACTTTTTCTCTTCATAGATTGGCCCCTGGCTTGTGGGTTAAGCATCAGATACAAACAGGGTGGAAAGTCGTAGGGATATGACTTGTCAGTGTTCACACGGGCCACTTTTAGCCACTCAAAGCAATAAGGTGTTTTGCCCACTCTTGTCCCAGTTCAGTGTGAAATTCACCCTTTCTAAACTGTTTCAACAATCTCCCGGACTGTATACATGCATGCTTGCTTCCTTAAGGTTCATTCTTCACCTGCATTTTGGGTGGGATCTTTTCAAAGTAAATCTGCTCATGGTTGATTCTTTCCAAACTTCCTGTTACTACTAAAGCAAGCCCAACACTCTTTACTTGGTATAAGTTGTCCTGCAGGAATTAACGCTATCCTATCTTTCTCCTTGCTTTTCACTCAAGCCCAATATATACCGATGGTAAAACTCTAATGTTATAACCAGGCAATAGATTTATATTTGCTTCCGTAGCTGAGGCTCTTTACCCTCAATTTTCTCTCACCCCTATTCGTCTATTCTAGGTCAAACTTGAGTGTCCCTTACCAGAATCCTTTCACATCTCTTTCAGACTAGGTAGAACATTAATTACATCTAACTGCACTTATCCAGCGCATTATAAATTTTTCTCAGTGACCGCCTTCCTTCTCATGTTGTTTTTGTTTTTTTAACGCCTTTCAAGGCCATGAACAGTGGCTCATTTGTCTTATCTCTAGCACAATATTTCACAGATTGTAGAAGGAACACAATAAATAGTTTGTTGAGCATCAATTTGTGTGAGGTTCTTTTGAGACTCCCAGCTGCCTGACTGCGTATTTTTATTACCTTGTGAGACTCTTACAAGTCAAAAGAGGACATTTTTATCCTTCTTCTTATACCTAACTTCTCATATGGTTTCTTACTGTTCCAGTCACTCAGGGACATTTCCCTTCAGCAGAGTCTTAGATTTGTATGCCAAATACAAGGAAGTGAAAAGAGGAAATGAAAAAATAAATGATGAAATAGTCATATGGGAAGTAACAAGAAGACAAAATTGGTAAACTAGAACATTTATAAACTATAATATCTATATACATTATTAAAAATAAAAAATAAAAAAATGATAGCCCTACTTTTTTAACCATTTGCATAAGTTCCTTGGCATAGATCCAGCAGATCTTGCAAATACAAATTAACTATGAAGTCAGTTAATAAAACCATGCATTACTATTTCCATTTTTAAAATGGTGATTAAAATATGTATACTTTTATGTTCTTCCTAGAATTAAATTTAGGATTGTTTCTTTTTGTTTGTTTGTTTTGTTGTTGCTGTTGTTTGAGCCAGGGTTTTTCTGTGTAGCCCTGGCTGTCCTGAAACTTACTCTATAGACCAGACTGGCCTCAAACCCAGAGACCCATTTGCTTCTGCCTCCCCCTCTTCAGTGCTGGGGTTAAAGGTGCACACCACCATTCCCTGGATAAAATTAAGTTTAGTTTTAATATTATAATTTTTTGCTTACTTCTGTCCACATCAAAACAAAAAATTGAAATAAGAATAGAGCAATCATTTTCCTTCCAGACTTCTTTTTGACTAAAGTTAAATACAAATTACTTGTTTAATGGAATTTGATAATAGTTTTAAATACATTAATTTGACTCTTCATATATCAAAATTAAGATTTACAGATATGATAAATATAAATACAGTTAAAGGTGAGACTGAATGAATCTCTAGTCATCCTAAACATTTTTTGCACAAAATTACAGAAATTCCTGGAAAAGTTTCAAGTAAAGTGGGATATACCTATAACTTTTGTATTATTGACATGCTACAAAATATGTATTGCCATGACCCAGAGTCATCCAAGAGGGGGGATTCTCAATTGAGGGAATTTCCAGATTGGAGTGGCCTGTGAATTTGTCTGTGGGGGATTGCCTTGATTGTTAATTAACATGGACACTCACTGTGGACAGCGTTGTCCCAGGGCAGATGGTCCTAGACTGTATAAAAAGCTATGTAAACATACGAATGAAAGAAAAAGAACAAACAATGTTCATTCATGATTTCTGCTCCAAATTTCTATTAGAATACCTGTGTTGACAAACTTTATAGTGAAGTATAATATATAAGTTAAATAAACTATTTTCCCCTAAGTTGATTCGGGTCATGGTATTTGTCATAGCAACAGAAAGAAAACTAGAATACCTTACATGCTTTTATTTTATAAACTATAAAAATTACTAGACTAGACTAACATATGCTAATAATCGTATAGATGTTAAACACTTAAAGATAAATGCAAAACGAAATAAATATAAGTATGTGTTTGTGGTTGTTTGAGTGAGAATGATTTCATAGGCTCAGTTACCTTAATGATTGGTCCCTAGTTGGCAAAAGCATTTTTTTGGAGGCATGGCCTTGTAGGAAGAGGTGTGTCAATGTGGGTGGGCATTCAAGTCTCAAAAACCCAAGGCAGGCCATGGCATCTTGTCTCCAAGTTGTGGATCAGGATGTGAATTCTCAGCTACTGCTCCAGCATAATGCCTGCTATCATGCTCCCTACTATGATTGCCATGAACTTACCTGTAGGAGCCACAATGCCCTTGTGCTCACAGATAAACTCAGGGAAACCAGAAATGCTAGATATGCAGGGTTGTCTCTTCAAAGGGAGAGACATATGTCTAGAGGGCTTGGAGCAGAGGTGGTTAATAGCCTGGTGACCTTTGCTCTGTCTGTATGATACCATAGTGGCTCCTCTCCCTGATGCTTAAGATGTAATGTGAGGTTCATCAATAAAGCATATCTTTATGGAAGAGGTCACAAGCACTTCACAAAGCTTTTCAATGTCATCATGTCTTAAGCTTTGCTGTACCTATAGGATTTCGTTAATTATGACCAGGAAACATTTCTTTTTAATTGTGTTGTGCTTAGACATGCCTGAAATAAGCAACTGGTGCCAGACTCTTGAAGTTTGAACCAGCACCAGCTACTGAGTCATGCTGAATGGGACTTCCTTCTTGTCTGACATGCATTGATACTTTGCTGGCCATGGTGTTTGCAGAGACTCCCACACTCATCCTCTGAAAACTGCAGGTCAGCACCCAACTCAATGGTTTCTTTCAGAAGTTACCTTGGTGATGATGTCTCTTAAAGGCACTGTAACAGTGACTAAGATAGTATTCTAACATGCTTTTCCTGAACTTTGACATGTAATGAATAATTTTCACAATATCGATACCATACAAGGTCTAATCCCCTCTACACTGTCTCTTCTGGAATTACATTTACTTCCAAGTTTGAAAATACTTTGATAACTAAGATGCAAAAGACAAAAAGAGCAAGTGACCTCACCAGGATGGCTTGCATGCCTTGCAAGGAAAGTGTGGGTCAAAATGTGAGTATATCAGCA